TCTTCAAGATAAGATTCTGCTGTCCATCTAAAGGGGCTGGACAATGAAACTGAAACACCTGGTTTTAGACCACAATAATTTATTAGTGTGGTGTAGGGCTTCTTTTTGCGGCCAATACAGCGTCAATTCATCTTGGGAATGATACATACAAGTCCTGCACAGTGGTCAGAGGGATTTGAAGCCATTCGTTTTGCAGGATAGTGGCCAGGTCACTTTGTGATGCTGGTCGAAGAAAACGTTTCCTGACTCATTCCTCCAAAAACGCCCCAAAAAAGGCTCAATAATTTTTAGATCTAGTGACTGTGCAGGCCATGGGAGATGTTCAACTTCACTACCATGTCCATCAAACCAATCTTTCACCAGTCTTGCTGTGTGTATTAGTGCATTGTCATCCTGATATACAGCACTGCCTTCAGGATACAATGTGTGAACCATTGGATGCACATAGTCCTCCAGAATGGTTCGGTAGTCCTTTGCAGTGACGCGCCCATCTAGCACAAGTATTGGGCCAAGGGAATGCCATGATATGGCAGCCCAAACCATCACTGATACACCCCCCATGCTTCACTCTGGGCATGCAACAGTTTGGGTGGTACGCTCCTTTGGGACTTCTGCACACCATAACTCTCCCAGATGTGGGGAAAACAGTAAAGGTGGACTCATCAGAGAACAATACATGTTTCACACTGTCCACAGCCCAAGATTTGCGCTCCTTGCACCATTGAAACTGATGTTTGGCATTGGCACGAGTGACCAAGGGTTTGGCTATAGCAGCCTGGTCGTGTATATTGACCCTGTGGAGCTCCCGACGGCCAGTTCTGGTGGAAACAGGAGAGTTGAGGTGCAAATTTTGGATTATGGATTTTTGATTTATCGGAAAATGAAAGCGATCCTGACAGCAGTCCAGGCCTGTGAAAAGCTGTCAGGCACAATGGATGGAATCGGCCGTACTGGTAACGCACAGACTCAGATGTTGGAGGAGATAAGTCGCAAACTGGATGTGATTCTGACGAGAAYGGCAGACCAGCAGCGTGCCTCTGGGATATAGAGATTACACCTGGGTGAAACTTCAGACAGAGAGGCGAGGAGGTCACAAAATTTGGAACATTTGGTATTTTTTTCGCCAATTTTCAGAGATGCAGTAAAGACTGAAAGCATCAAGAAGAAAAATTCAAGGGCTGCTAGTCCCAAAACAATTAAGATTATCTTTTCGGAACCCAGTTGGCATGCAATCTAAACTCCCCGGGACGATACGTCAACAAGGGCTTGATTTCCCTCCCCTTTTCCCGTATCATCCGTGTGTGGGGCCCAGTCTGAAGGCCGTGAGGAGGAAGGGGAAAGTCTGAACTCTAGTGAACTGAGCACGTGACGATAAGATC